CCCCTAAGACTGGGAATACTTTGTCATAAAATTGACAATCAAGTTACTTTGTTGTAAATATATCTCCTATCAAAACCTCTAAACATTTAACAACAGGCGAGTCGTTATAGCCAATGCCAATACACAGTCTTCTACATTATATTGAATGCATTGTAGGGGAGGGGGTATATAAGACACACAATCAAATATTGTCAGAAGGGACAAACTTGTTTCTCATCGAGAGACATCAAGTGTAAGAAATTCAAATTTTGAATATTTGACATTTTATTTATAGGGAAGGATTAATAAAATGAACATGTGTATATATAATACATGTGAAGGAGAACTTCAGGTTCTCATATGTTGGAACTACAGGTTCCTTATAATAAGACCATTTTTTTTATGGTTGAGAAAAAATCAAGAATTCACTTCTAACCAAAGTGTTTACAATTAACACATAAAATTCATGATGAGCACTTTATTTGCAAAAATCTTAGTAAAATCTTTTTTTTCTTGAACTTCAGGTTCACATCTTCTTTAATTGAAGAATATATATAATCTAACATATGTCATGGAATTTATCTTCCATTCAACTCCTTCAAAAACCTTCCCTTAGTGTCTACTTACCATTGTGGTATCTTGATAATTATCTGATTTAAGCCCATCAAGCATCCGCTCCAAATTATTACCACATAAATGAAGATTCAAAATCTAGTATAAAATGATTTGTTCTCATAATCAAAAGTATAGCCACTAATTCGATGCACTTTGCATATTAACTAGAGCTGCAGGCACTTTTGTGACTAATGATGTTCAACATAACCAATAAATTGTGTCCATAATACAATATATGACAAATAACATAAAGTTACGAGTTAATTGTCAACAAATATGACAAATATAACGATGCATTATATAACACATATAAATTATCATCACGAATAGTTGATGGGCCCAATCAATTATCTTTTAACAATTTCTAAATATGTATGAAATGAATCTCAAGTTTCATTAGTAATAGTCTCATAATAATCTTCTAATGAGAACAAGACTCTAGGATCTTCTGGTCCTAATAATAACAAAAACTTCTAGTTCTTCAGATAGTACTGACTTGAGTTTTAATGATTTTTTTTATCACATCACAAACTAAATCGTGATAATTTAATTGGTTATGTTTAAAATAAAAATTAGTTCAGTAAACTTCTGGTTTACGTGAAAAACAAATCTTGACCGAGTGTCATGTAATATTCATTTTCACTTGTATCTTAAACATTAATAGAGACACCCTAAACAATAAGGGTTTGTCTATACCCAACAGAATATTCGTCAATGCAGGATAATAACTATTTTCTCAAAAACATTCAATATTTATGAGACTTTTATTACTTCTATTATGCAGCTCTTACTACGCAATGCTCTTCTGGAGCTATCTGTTACTTTTGTATAACAAGAAAATTATATCTACACTAACTTCTTTTATCACAAGAGAAAAGAATCTCTTACATCTAAAAAATATATCATGTATACTCATTCCTTTGATTTTAATATATTTACTACATCATTCTTCAGGAATATTGATGAGGAATCATATATAGATTAGAATTAAGGTCTTGAAATATCAAAACGTGTCTTTATAATGAGATTTTTTTTAACAAAAAATAAGCCACTTCAGGTGGTAATTAAATATTATAAGACCTTAGGTAGTGTCTCATATACCCATATATTGTGTTTGATGAACATGATGACTCTTATTTAATTTAGGAGATTATACATCTTAAGAATTTCTTTTCAGAATTCAATATTCTTCAGGAATATTTAGATTCAAATAGTCAATATTTTAAAAAAGTGTAATTCTATGTGACCATAATAGTGACTTTGATGTGTCCATATGTATAACCACAATAGTTGTGATAGCGTATTATATTCATGCATGTCAATCAATTTTTCACTCGCTTCAGAGAATGAATATGTAACATGATTTTTTTTTTCAAAAAAAACCTTTCCTAACAATGGAAAAAAATGTAACCAAATATGGGGTGTATGAATCTTTTTCTTACACTACCACTTTAGAGAAAATTAGATTCTCAAATACTATTTTGTAATTTCAAACCACATATAACATGCAATTACAAATATTTGTCACATAAATTTTATTGCAACGTAGCATAGCACATTAAAATATAATTTCATTGCATAAAGAGAAAATGCATTGAACAATTTATTGTTAAAAAAAAATCATTAGGCCATTTTGCTTCTGGAAAGTGGTAAATGCATTTAAAAAAACTCTATTTCCTTATTCTCTTCTAGAGAATATGGACATTTAGAATAAATATCAAATTTGATTCACTCTGAGGACAAAACTTAACACTTTTGTAAAATATATCTATAGAGCCAAAAAAAATTATAAAGTGAATGGTCCAAGATTTTGCTTTTATCAAAAATTAGCTAGGGAATCACATAGCATGAGTTGTGCAAACTTGGCAAATATAGAGTATTAAAATGCACATTTTCGTTTCCTTAGCATCAATCAACGAAGATAATCCATAATTTGCATATTTGAATGCATTTTTTTTCAACACAAAATATGAATGAAGCTACCATTTTACAATGATGCATATCCAAAGTAATAATGATCGTATTTACAATGATGTATATCCAAAGAAATCTAAATGCCATTTGTGTGTATGGTATCTTAATTTACATGTAGACTTAACTCCTCATGTGATAAAACATGATAAAAGTTGATACTTCATTTGAAAATCCTCTTTTATAGGTCATGAACATATAAAACAACAAAATATTTATCACATTTGTGATCAAAAAATAAATATGTATTTTTTTCACATAAGCACATATGTCAATGTTTGTGTACAATCTTAACTTTAAAAAGCAACAGTTCAAGATTTATGGGTATATTAGGATAACTATGTACAATTTCATGATAGGATAATCCATGATTGTAACTTTTTTTTTGTATGCAGCATGTAACTAAAAAAAAATTACCAATCCCAACAAAAACAAAAAAAAACAGATCTAGAATGAACATATGGTCCTGTCCATAACTTGCCTTACTATAAGCTGCAATCAATTCATGACCAAGATGTACTAGTGGCACGTTGGTCTGATTTTAACTATTACACCCCAGCATCAGGGGTTCGAATCCCAGCTCCATTTTTGTCTTTTTTTTAATTTTATTTTTTAAAAAAACATGTTTACAGTAAATTTGGTTTAGAAATCTGCTAATGATTTTTTTTTTCAATATATGTATTTACAAATCTATTTATAAGATGATTGAAATCAAATTCTTTCCCTTAAAAAGCGTCAAGTATAGAAAAACTTATAACACTTTTCAATCTCAAACAAATCATAATCTAGATCAAACAAGATATATTTTCATTCTTCACATCAATTTTAGGGATTCGGAATACCTGGATAGACCTGCAAGGCTACCATTACTCGGCACAAATGGCCCGTGAAGTACATTTATCCATAAATCAAAATCAATGGATTGTATAAAATATTTCATCCGCATTTTCCAATAAGAATAATTTTGGCCATTAAAAAACGGAGGGCGGTGAATGCTTTGGGAATCCATTTGGCCAATTTTTCAATAAATTTGAATTTTAAAAAATTAGGGAAAATAAATTTTTCAGATTTTAAAAATTCAAATTTAAAAAGGACACAACAAGTGGATCTTTGTCGTAGATGCGGTTAAGCACTTTTAACTACGAAACCGCTTTGATACCAATTGTTAGTCGGTTTAATCGTTGTGCCCACGCCTTAGACGGGGGGTGAATAAGGCGTTGACAATCTTTTCGGAGTTTAATAAAAATAGTGTTGGCAAATGCGGAAGCAATAAGTAAAACGCAAAAATAAAAGCGTAAAGTAAATGCACACCGATTTTATACTGATTCGGGAACTCCCTACTCCAGTACCTTAAGGCTCCTCCTTAAAGATTTCTGAAGCCACTAAGTCTCGGTCTCTTGAACTCCGTCAAAGCACCGCACTAGTTTGGCAAACAACCCTTGCCAATAGGATTCACTCCGAGATTTTACAACGGCTATCTCGTACTGTTCCCCCAAGGATTTCAAAGGCTATCATTGAACCTTTATCCAAGGATTTATACGGCTATCCTTAACCGTTACAACGTGAGAATTTAACGGCTATTCTCGACCGTAAGAAGGTGTGTTTGAGAAACACAAACAATAGTTCTACACAACGGCTTGAATATAGAAATGAAGGACAAAACTTAGCCGGTGTAGAAGACAAGTATACTCTCTCAAAAATACAATTCAAACTTATGAATATGAGAGTATATAACTAGAAACACAAGCTCAAAGTGTGTGTAAAAAATCAGGAGTTTAAGGCTCTTGAAATAGCCAAAATATTAGAAATAATTAATAAAAGAATGAACACACTTAAAATATAAAGAGAGGATGTTTAGAGCTTTTTTTCTTTTTGAAATATGAAGGATTAGGCTCGTATTTATAGTAGAAGATGTTAATTAGCCGTTGGGAGGTGATTAGGGTTGATTTAATTCAAATTTCGCAATCAGGAACAGTGTTGTAACGGATCCGGTAGGCAGGTGCCGTCCACACGGTAGCAAGGTACCGTGCGTACGGTAGGGGGTACCGTGAGAGGCGGTACCACGGTACCGTGTAGCACAAAAAACTTCGTCCGGTTCTGGCGGCACCTAGTTAGGGCGGGTGTGGCCATCCGTTCCGGCCTACCGTACAGTACCTGGGTACCGTCTCACGATATAGGGGTACCGTGTAGGCAGTATACCCTACCGTTTGGGGGTACCGTGCCACTGTCCTGATTTTTCCAAAATTCCCGTAATCCTTCGTGTTTGAGTTTAAAACCTTTTAGATATTTGAAAATGTTTATGGGATGTATTAGGAAGTATAATTAAATTAGGATACTTCTTTCCTTTCCTACTAGGATTATTTTTTCCTTTCCTACTTGTACTTTGATTACTCTTGTATTCCTTATATATAGGGCCATATCTCTCAATATTCAATAAGACAAGTTATTATCAAATTGTATCATGGTATCGGAGCTAAGGCTCTCAAAAACCTAGCCTCTCTTTTTTTTTCCGACCGCCGCCCACCATGGCAGCCCCGTCGGATCCTTTGGCGTCCTTACCCTCCGGAGTAAAACTTTTACTTCGGAGTCTCCACAACTTAATTCCAGAAAAACTCACCGAAACAAATTATCCGGCATGGTCTCTCAATGTCCAGACAGCTCTTTCAGCTAATCTCCTCCTTGGATGGATTGATGGTCATGAAGCAGCCCCGGCGCCAACTATCTCCAAAAACGATAAAACCGTCCCTAATCCAGAGTATACCTCCTGGACCATCGTTGACACACAGATCCGCGCCTGCCTCCTAGCGGTCATCAGCCCCTCCGTTCACAAACATGCTCGCGGCTTCACCACATCTGCTGCCCTCTGGGATGCTTTGGCCGCACGGTACAACTCCGTGTCCACCGCTCATGTTTATCAGCTTCGGGACAAACTCCACACTCTTCGTAAAGGTACCAAAACTATGACACAATACCNTTTTTTTCCGACCGCCGCCCACCATGGCAGCCCCGTCGGATCCTTTGGCGTCCTTACCCTCCGGAGTAAAACTTTTACTTCGGAGTCTCCACAACTTAATTCCAGAAAAACTCACCGAAACAAATTATCCGGCATGGTCTCTCAATGTCCAGACAGCTCTTTCAGCTAATCTCCTCCTTGGATGGATTGATGGTCATGAAGCAGCCTCGGCGCCAACTATCTCCAAAAACGATAAAACCGTCCCTAATCCAGAGTATACCTCCTGGACCATCGTTGACACACAGATCTGCGCCTGCCTCCTAGCGGTCATCAGCCCCTCCGTTCACAAACATGCTCGCGGCTTCACCACATCTGTTGCCCTCTGGGATGCTTTGGCCGCACGGTACAACTCCGTGTCCACCGCTCATGTTTATCAGCTTCGGGACAAACTCCACACTCTTCGTAAAGGTACCAAAACTATGACACAATACCTTGATGATGTGGCAACTATTCTCTCGGATCTCGATGCCTTGAAAGAAGAGATCCCTGAACGTGATGTGTTGAATGCTGTTATTCGTGGTCTTCCCACCGAATACTCATCCTTTAAGCAAAACATTCGCATGAACAATACCAATATTTCGTTAAATCAGCTTTCTGGATGGCTGATCTCCGAAGAAATAAACCTGGAGATGGAGAATAAACTCAACCTCACCGAGTCTAATGGTAAATACCACCTTTCTACTCTTCATTATGTCCCTTCCCTTACCTCCAATCTATTGTCTGTCCATCGATTTACGAAAGATAACAACTGCACTCTTGTTTTCAATGCCAACGATTTCCAGATAGTGGACAATCCTACCAACCAGGTGCGGTACAAGGGCCTCTGTGAGCATGGGTTATACACACTTCCTTCCAAACTCCCAACCGTTGCGTATCAAGCTATCCAAGAGTCCACTTGGCATCATAGACTCGGTCATCCAGCTCCTGCGATTGCCAAATCTATTTTGTCTTCCTTAGGTTTTCAGTTTTCAGAGCCTTTACATTGTGAATCATGTTATGTCTCTAAGTCCTGTCGTTTACCTTTTGAATTGTCTGAACATAAGGCCACAACGCCCTTTCAATTAATACATTCTGATGTTTGGGGTCCGACCTCTGTTCCTTCCTGTAGCGATTTTCGATTTTATATCTCTTTTGTTGATGATTTCAGCAAATTTACCTGGATTTATCCCCTAAAACATAAATCTGAAGCTTACTCTGTTTTTGTGAATTTTGAAAAAATGATTAAAACTCAGTTTAATTCTCACATCAAAACTTTTCGAAGTGATAATGGCAAAGAATTTGTAAATAACGCTCTTGGCCTTTTCCTTCAAACTTTAGGAGTCCTTCATCACACCTCTTGTCCCTACACTCCTGAGCAAAATGGGGTCGCTGAACGGAAACACTGTCATCTCATTGAAACAGTTGTTTCTCTTCTATACGACCCTGCTCTCCCGACTACCTTTTGGGTCGAAGCTCTTGCCACAGCAAACTATCTTATCAACCGTATGCCCACCAAAACTCTCTCCAACAAATCTCCCTTTGAAACTCTTTATAACCGTCCTCCTACATATACCCACCTTCGTGCCTTTGGTTGCTTGGTCTATCCATGGCTCCGCCCTTACACTCACCACAAACTTCAACCACGCTCCACTCCTTGTGTCTTCTTAGGATATCACCCCACCACTAAAGGGTATAAATGCTATGAACCCGTGTCTCAAAAAGTTTATGTCTCTCGTCATGTTCGGTTCGTCGAGGATCAGTTTCCATATCCCAAATTGTCATCCCTCCCGTCACCCTCTCCTATAACCCCTATTTTTCCTCCAAGCCCAGGCTCACATGCTCCTGTCCCACTGACGGTCCAACCCCAGACCCGTCCCACCAGTCACGGACGACAGCCCGACACCCTCCCTATGGACACGCCACAGACGGTCCAACCCCAGAACCGTA